CCCCGGCTCCCGGCCCGGGGCCCTAAGCACAGGGGTCAGCTAGCTCCCTGTGTGGTGGACGTGGGGTTCTGTCCCGAAACGCGTCCGCCCACGGGCGCCAAAAGGGCCCCTCCCCGGGCTGCTTCCTCCCCGCCGCGAACCCCGTCGGCCTCCCCGAGGGGTCCCCGTAGCCTACCGTGCTTCGGTCACTTGATGAGGGCGTAGTCCGTCCTCTGTCGTGGGATCCGGCCCCCTCAGCGGTCAGCTGCCGTGGGTGTCCTTGACCCTTCGCCGCCGGGTGTCCTCGCTGAGAACCCGGCTTCCCCGGTGGGGGCGTCTCCCTGTGTTCGGCCCCAAGCCCTGCGGGAGCCCGCCGCCAAGGACGTCCCCCTCCCGCGCTGCCCGTGGGCCCTTTTCAAATGGCCCGCTGGCGATGACGTCACGCTGGTGCGCCGCCCTTCCAGCGGCGGTGCGCACACTCCTGTCCTGCCCGGCTCGTCAGTCCCGGTGCCTGTTCCCAGCGGACACGCGCCGGGTGTCAGATGGGCCGCCGCTCCGCTTCCCAGCCGCGGGGGAAGCTCCCGCGGCCGGTATCTGCCGCGCGCCGGCTTCCCGCAGCCAGGTGCCGCGGCTGTGAGTGCTGCCTCCCCCAGCCGCCCTGGGCAATCCTCCGTGCGGGCCGGGGACGGCCCGTCACAGTCATCGTAAAAACCCCTCGTGCTCTGGGAGTGGGATGTGTGCCGGGCCGGGCCAGGCCGGGCCGGGGCACCGCTGAGGGCCTCCACTCAGGGCAAATTGCTCAAACTCGGGGCTCTCTATAGCCCCTGACTGGAGACCTTCCCAAATAGGCCACAAACCAGTCACACCGAGCGCTTCAGCTGCCAGCCTGGCCAGCAAGAAGCCTCATGAGCAAAACCCCTCAGACATCCCAGCCCTATCTGTGCCCCTAACAGCCCCAGGCCTAATACACAGGGGAGGGGTTTTAGAGCCCGATCTCACCCACCCCGAACGGGTTCTTCTGGTTCCAAGAAACCAGCCCCAGGTCCCGATCAATTTACACTCTGGATCTTACCCACAAATCACGCTGAGCCGATCCATTAGAATCTAAAATCCAAAGGTTTATTACTAAAAGAAAGAGAAACATGAGAGTGAGGTTGTTAAAGTATGATACGTTACATGCGTTGAATCACCCAGTTCTCGATGCAGGCTCGCAGCAGAGATGTTATAACTGCTGGCTTAAAAGTCTCTGGTTACATCCTATGTCAGGACGGGTCCACAGTTCTTCCCGGCTCTTAGTTCCCTGCGAGGCTGCATCTGGGATTAAGAGCAAATCTGAAGACAAAAACTGGAGGATGCCACATGGCATTTATACAGCTCCTTGGTCTCTTCCAAGCTGGAGCGTCACGTGGGCAGCGGCCAGGCCTATAACTTCATTCCTCAGGTGTCTCTTTGGCCTTTAGAGAGCTATTGTCCTTGGAGCGGCGCTCATTAGCATATCCATTGGCTGAGCATTCCCCGCCCATTGCTCAGCCTCATACAGCGAAGTTTCCAGCATCCATTCAGAGTCCATGTTTCTAACTCCACACACAGATATTATCCAATTACCTGAATAGCAGATACAGAATCAGTAGAAGAGAAGCTTTTGTTTGACGCTTCACATGGCCCCCTTTGTATACACTTTGGGGCAAATATCCCCTGATCTGGCTGCTCCCTTTAAAATCCAGTAACGTGACAGGATGTCAACCCACTCCTGGCCTGGCCAACTCTCCATGCAGCCGACAGGACAACACTCACAGGTCCTGGCTAATGCTGTATTTGGAAACCATAGGTGTCCAGTGCTGCTAACCTCCTATGCCCTGTGGCAGCCTTCAGGGCATCGCTTTGGGAACTGTTATCAGAACTTTTCTTTTTCCTCACTGAACTGGCGTTTCTCCAGAGACAGTTTCAACCCATGTTCCTGCAGACAGTCATACTCTTCTTGCTCTTCCAAAGTGTCACTGAATATTGTCAAGTCATGCAGATACACCAGGCCTTGCATAGGTTCATGTCACCAACCATCCACTCAATCTCTGAAATGGCCCCACATGTTTTGTGGGGCAATCTCAGAAATTCACAGAAGCCAAGGCGCTCTCTTCCATATCTGCTAATCCCATAGGTATCTAATGGTTTTCCTTTTTGGATCTTACTAACAACTTCCTGTTAGGCACCCTAAGGCATATTCCACCCTTGCTGATACACTGGTCAGGTACATCTTTAAAATACGACAATCTATGCACACACATAAACCTCATTCTTTTCTCTGGCCACAAGTGGGGAAGCGTAAAGGCTTGTAGGGTTCCTTCCCTCTTTGTCTCCTGGATGTTTCTGAACATCTTTGACATCTGCAGGGTGCTAGTCCCCTCAGACTTTCCTAGAAAGGCCCATCATTCTGCCAAACGTGATGTGCCAGGAGTTGAACATCCCGCTCACATGGGGTCTTTGCACTAGCTTCCATGTCAAGCTCTCCACACCAGAGGAATCAGGAAGTCAGCAAAGTTCAACTTCTCTGGGTGAAATATGGATCTAACGGTCTTGTGAGGGGCAGATGGGCCACTGTGCAGCCAAGTATACCTGTGCTAACGCAGCTCCCGAGGAATAGCGACGGGCTGCTCAATTTCATTAGCCAGCAGCAGCTTTCCTGACTCTTTCTAAACAAGATGGGTTTTGACACACGTCTCTTCACCATCGATCCCAGTGACACAGCTGTATCTAGGGCTTTGACCAAGATCAATTGATTGACTGGTGGCCGTCTGACCCCTTGAGCAATTCCATCCTCAGATGGGTTGCCCTTGGGCCCCGATCTTTGTGTCACTGCCCCCTCACCCACATTGGTGGTCTTCTCCCTCTTTAACTGGATATGCTTCCAAAGAGTGTATGGGGCTTCAGGCTTTGCCTATGCTCAGGTCCAGCACAGTCCTGGCCTAGCTGAACCAGAGCCGCGACGTGGCTGCGTTTGTCCCTGCAAACAAGGCAGCTGGTGTGGGCAGCTGATGGACAGAAAAAAGCAAGAATGTGCCTCTCAGTCCCAGCCACAGCCTGTGGGAATTTTCGCTTCACAAGCCCCTTTCACAGATATGGGTACGGGGTACGGGTCATCTCCTAGCCCCACTGGCAGATGGGTCAGTAAGAGGGGCCACAATGACTGCGGGGGTTGTACTCCCGCGGCGCAGCGTCCGATTCTCCTGCCCTGTGCTGCAGCGACTGGGGTGCGTGCACGGTGCCCAGTGGGGGATGGGATCCGTGGGATGACTCCTGAGGGGAGGCCTGTAGGAAATGGCCCAGGTCCCAAGTCACCTGTTCCTAGGGAGGAGTGCAGCCAGGGATAGAGAGCACGTTGGGCCTGGCACTCTGAGCAAGAGAGGGGAGGGGCGGGGCGGGGCGGGGCTGCCTAGGGGGCTCTGACCAGTGCCTCGCTGTGAGTTAGTTTCTGGGCTGCCTCAGGAAGAACAGAACCTAGATGGCTTGGAGGGCCAGGCAGGGGCCCAGGGCCCTGGGCCCTGGCCCCCTTTCCCCAAGCTGGGCTGGGCTGGCTGCTCCTGGTGCCTGTAACGAGTCTGGGCTACGCTGTGTCCCTGGGAGTCAATAAAGAAGCAGA